TACTTAACCTGAGTTATTTACCGTACGGTTAATAAAATTTTCCTGACAGTTTAACCTGAGCTACAGTTGATAAAAACCTGAAAACTTATCCCAAGTGATTTACTGTACGGTTTTAACTATGGTATGGTTGAAAAAAAAAAACGTTAAATAAATACACGTGATCTGACTTATTAACTAGGGATGCACGAAATATCAGCATTAGCATCGGTATCGGTTCGATAAGTAAAACTGGGCTGATATTAACTTCTGATATTGATTTACTACTTGTTGTTGTTTGTGTTTTTGAGTTGTAGAGGAGATGGTTGGTTGAACGTTATGTGTTTGAACATGATTGTGAGGCTGCACAGCCAGGAATACCTGAAGTACAGATTCATGTCAGCAGTCTGGTTATTTATGGAAAAAAGACGTGTTCGTGTCATAACAGCAGTACTAATATCAGATATCGGCTGAAATTTTCATATTTGTGCATCCCTATTATTTACTGTCCAGTTTTAAATGTTTTTTTTTATTCTGATGTTCTAAAACTAGAATGCTTTTCATGATGGTTTATCAAACAGTTGAAAAATTGCTTAAACAGATTTTTTTAATTAGCCTACATTATTATCCCTGATGAGTTTACYGTACGGTTGTGAATATTTTTAATTTCACAAATTTACAAAACTGTTATTCTTACACCCAGTGACTTCCCGTACAGTTTTAATATTTTTCTTATGAATTTTTAAATTAAAAATAACCAAATGCTTTCTCCTTCTGATTTACCATTCTGTTCTAATTTAAATTTGTAATTTCACAGTCGAGCGGGTATTGACGACTCCAAGAAGTGGGGCATGATKTTTCTGAGCAACCAGCTCTTTAAGATCTACTTTAAGGTTTTTACTCTAATATTTATAGACCTTCCTGTTGTATTTACTGTTCAATAAAATGACTGATGGATGAAAATGTGTTTCAGATTAATAAGCTGCACTTGTGCAAACCTCTGATTCGAGCCATCGACAGTTCCAACCTAAAGAACGACTACAGTCCAGCTCAGAAAGTCACCTAYAAATACTACGTGGGTCGTAAAGCCATGTTTGACAGTGACTTTAAAACGGGTACAACAGCAGTCCAGCTCATGTTTTTATATAAATAAAACTAACTGCWCTGCAACATTAACTAAACTATAAATCTGCTGTTTTCTTCTCACAGCGGAGGAGTTCTTGTCTTATGCCTTCCACCACTGTCACCGAKCCAGCCAGAAGAACAAGAGGATGATCCTTATTTATTTACTACCAGTTAAAATGCTTCTGGTTAGAAACTCAAAACTCACTTCACTTTAATCAAAGAAGTTTATGTCAGTTTACAACCTGAGTTAATTAGGATTTATGATTTGTTTTTAAAACAAAAACTATTGTGTTAAACAGATTGTAGGTGGTAAAATAGCATTTAATTTGGAAGTACAACAAAGGAAGTGTCTATATATTGATTTAAATTTGGTTTTATTYGTGTTTACATTGATCAAGTTAAACCATTTTTAAGTAGTAGCTAAATTGGATTAAAAAATCTGAACTTCTTCCAGTTAAATCTGTAAACTTGAAGTTCACACCAGAACATAATTAGATCTAAATCATATCTGAAATGGTGAAAAAATATCAGGATGTTTCCAGCATTAGGTGCTTTAATATAATGAATTGAAATTGATGTGATAATTAAAGTAAATAATTAAAGTCAGGAAAACTAGTTTACTTTAAATTCTAAATGTTATTTAGTAAAAGAAGTTTGGACCTATGTAAAATAGTTCCAGTAAAACTGGTTCAGACTGTTTTACATCTTGATTCAAACCACTTTATYGGGAACTTCAGTAAAATCCAGTTTTAAGAATTTCTGGCTGGTTTTGGGTTTGATAAAGTTCTGTAGAATAAGTGGTACTCATCCTGGCTCAGGTTTTAATTAGACCAGGTGAGTTCATTAGAAACTAGTCTAATAAAGTATTTGCCTGTTTGAAATATTCACCATAACTATAACTTAATATTCAGTTTAACTTTATTTAAAGTTCTGCTCTGTGATGGTTTTCAGCCCTGACTTCAGCTTGTGTCTGGTCTTTCAGGGTCACATGCCGACTCAGCAGCTCCTCATGAAGTACGACCTCATGCAGTTTGCTGATGTCACCAAAGCTGTGAGGTAAGCAGGGGCGGCGTGGACACTTAAACAGGACGTGACATCACAGTCACATGACCTCAGGTGAATCTGTGTTTGTCAGTGAGGGGAACCTGCAGCTGCTGAATGAAGCTCTGTCCAAACATGAG